CCATTAGAAATATTGCCTCCAGATACTTAGTATAAGAATTTGTTTGATTTTTATTTTGATTCTAAATATAAGGCTCTAATTCACTTTGTTTTTCATATTTATCTATTTTTTTTAAGTAGTCCATGTAATAATAGTAATTCTAGTCAATACAACCTTAGTAGCAAGAATATTTTAGTAAAGACAGTACTTATTTATTATAAATAACTAATTTTTCTTAATCAAATCAAGTAGACAATTAGCTTTGATATTAAAAACAGGAGATAGTATTCGAATAACAGTGGTTTCAAATGAAGCCCAGGTCAACCTTTTGATCTAATAATAATTATAGCTAGAGAAAGCCAAGTTTGAGGAGGATAATGAACCCAAAATTTCTGTGTTGCCAAATTAAGAGGAACAGTGCACTTCATCATATCTTGATGAAGTGCAGTGTTCCTCTTGTAGCATATGATATTAATGACAAAGATAACATTGTTTTTTATTCTAATTATAAGATTTTATTTATAGATTACAGACGACATCTTATAATGAGGATCAGAGATAGTACTATGTGACAAACCCTTGCTAATAACATGTGTCCTAGCTGTATCACAAAATTTGAGAGTGAGCAGTCTATGATGAGCTTAATAAAAGAGAAGCAATCAATCTTAGATTTTACAAAAGCGCAAGATATGTTTGTCACTAAAAAAAAAAGGTACAAGATACGTAAAAGCAATCCATGGATTCTTCTATATTACAACAATAACTAAACCATATTGTATTATGTGGGATTGATTGCATGGACTACACGAAATCATTCGATATCATTATTCCTTAAATTTCTCACATTTTGATAAATTTGTCACAAAAGACCATACAATTATTTAAGTTTTTTTTTTTTGGCTTCAAATAGTTAGAATTCCGTCATGTTTGGCACGTATAGATTATATTATTCATTCATGCCAAATAATATTTAGAAGAAGAAAGTGACAACGAAAAAATTTAGAAAATCAACGTGTTAGATAGTTATCAATTGAATATTATGTTTTGTTAAGAAGGATTGCATGTCTTATTTAAAAACATTTTGATCTCCATTGTTTCATATCAAACTTACAGTTATCATGAATATTCCTTTCTTTTCCAATGTAGAGCTACAAAGCTTGCAATTTAATATGTTAAGAAGCAATTCATTTCAAGATATGGTGTTAACAAGTTTTCGGCCAACATAATGCATCAATATATCTCTTCATCCCTTACTTTTTTTTTCTCTTCTCTCATGTTAAATTAGCACATAGGATAGATTTGAAAGGCCTTATTTGACTTAACTCCTCTGCGCTACCTTTAGGTACTGTGACTTAATCTTGTTATTTTTAATTTTTCAATGCATTTTGATTTTTAAGGGACTGTTTAGTATGAGGAAAATGGAGAGAAAGAGCCCGAGGAAAAATTTTAATGAGGTCGTCTTATAAAATTGAAGAAGTGGGGTTATAAAATTTCAATAAGAAAAAATGTAAGATAAAGAGCAATTAAAATTAATTAAAAAATTTTTTAACCCCACTTCTTCAATTTTTTTAAACAAGCTCATTAAATTTTTTTTTCTCCCCTTCCCTCCATTTCCTTCATGCCAATAGACTTTGAAAATAAAAAAATAAAAAATAAAAAGAGGAGAAGAGAAAGAGCAAGGGGAAATCTTGTTATTTTTCTGATCTAGTTTCATGGAAAGAGCTGTGGAACATATTCTAACACCCAAACAGCGGCTAAGCTATCTATGGATCAAGAGAGGCCCGCTAAATGAATTTCCTCTTAGTGGGCTGACAGCTTTTCCAGCCCAGCCCACACCATACGGCCGTCAGCAATTAGCCCGTCCTCTTATACTACTCGTATAATACACACATGCAAGGACATGTACGTACATATAAATTGTGCACGTGTCAAATACAGGCACTTTAATTGTAATGAACTAATTATATCATGTTCATTTATTCTAGTCTATGTCATGCATAAACAAAACATAAAACCATGTCATCTACCTTTTTTTTTTTGCGTTATTTTTTTTCCGAATGAGAAATACTACTTCTGGTCCTTAATATAAGACCTTATTTGATTTTTATTTTGGTTCTAAATATAAGACCCCAATTTACTTTTTCTCTTATACTTAAACATTTTTTTCAAAAGTAATTCTTTTAACAATAGTAATTCTAACTAATACACTTGATTAACAAGCGTATTTTAGAAAAGACAACACCTATTTATTATAAATAATTAACTTAACTTATTTTCTTAATCTCTTCAAATTAGTCAATTAGGTCTTATAATTAGGATTGAGGTAATATTTATTTCAACAAGATATGTAAGTCGGGCTCATTAGCCTAATCCTAACTATATTTTCACGTTTCAAGAAAAGCGCAGCACAGCTACTGGCACGTGCTTTTTTGGCTTTTCCCCAAAAAAGTAATTATACAACAAATTTTTTAATACTCCTCCGGTCCTTAATATAAGACCCATTTAACTAATTTGATTAGATTAAGGAAGTTAGGTAAGTTAGTTAATTATAAGAAAAGTGACACATTTTTCCTAAAACACCATAATCATCTTTCTTAATACTCCCTCTCTCTTTTCTACTTGATTATAGTTGAGGGAATATCTATAGGGATAATTTAGAGAAAATTGATAAATATGAGAAATAGGTCTTATATTTAAAACCAAAACCAACTCACTAATTGGGTCCTATATTAAGGACCGGAGGAGTATTATTTATCTTGTTGTATAGTGTAAAATTATTTAAAATAAACTAAATCAAACGCTGAAGCAATACAATAGCGAAGTTATCCTTTCTGCCTCTTCACTCTTTCTTAGCTTCTTTTACATTTATTACCGTTTTCCCAGAAAAAAATTTCTAATTCTAAATGCATGTCTTCTTGAAGAAGTTTGCAAATTACTCTTCTTGCTTTTGTTTTTTTTGTTTTTGGTGAAATACGGGGCAATCAGCCCAATTTATTCCTTAATCTTTACAACTCGTGGGTATGAAGTTCCCACCTGATCACTGTACAAAAGCTCCTAACACGCCTTGGTGGAGTTTCAAAGAAACAAATATCATCTTCAATAAGGAAACTTAAACGGTGTTTGGATAAAATCAAAACTATAGTTTTATAAATGTTTTTATAATATACGAAATAAATATGTAGATGAATTTGTCTCGATTTACAAAAAAATGTTTCTGAAAAGTATTTATTAGACTTCCCAAACACCCCTTTGAATTCGCTAAGGCATCTGCACAAAAATTGCCTTCTCTGTGTGTATGTTGTACCTGTACCTGTGTACCTGTTGAAGACAATTCAAATCTTTACAAATCAATTTTAACAAGCTTGATTGCATCTCTGCACCTTCCAAAATTTGTATTAGCAATTGTATTACAGCTACCGGGTCGCACTCTACAACCAGTTTCCGAACTTTATTTTTCTTCGCTAGAGTTAAACCTATTGCTACACCCCATAGTTCTGCTTTAATTGCAGAGCATACCCCCAACTTTCTAGCAAATCCTCAATCCATCTTCCTTCACTGTTCCTCAGCAATCCTCCACAACCTGCAACTTTCTCCCGTCCCTTTGAAGCACCATCAACATTGAGCTTTGTCCACCCCCCACTAGGCTCTTTCCATCTGATATACATTTCCTGCTTTTGATCAGTCCCATTGAAACAACTCTGTTGCGCCCTTAGCACTTCATCAGCATGCTTCTCAATTACTCTTTTCTTCCCCTCTGTTACAACAAAATTTTCTTCAAAGATACAGCGGTTTCTCCAGTTCCAGAACTGCCAGACAGTGATAGCAAAAATCAAAGCCCATTTACTATTCAGATTTCTTAAATTCCATTCTATCCAAGCTTTCCCATTTAGTTGATAGAAGTTTAAATCCACCGTGTCTCCTCTCAGCTCTTCCCACAGGCTCTTTGCAACCTGACAATCTCTTAGCACATGCATGAGATCTTCTCTTCTCCCCACACACTTATAACACGCATCACTTCCTCCCATCAGCTTTACCCTCCTTTCTGTTGTCATTAATCTGTCATGAGCAGCCAACCACAAGAACACCTGCACTCTTCTTGGGCCCTTCCATTTCCAGATTCTCTTCCAAACCTCTTCCTCACACCCCTGTTCATTTCGCAGTAACCCATACATTTTTGCCACACTATAATCAGCATTCAAAGCTGATCCCCATTTGATTCCATCCCTGCCAAACTCTTCATTAGGCGGGGGAACAGCGTTAATTAATTTCCTTCCCTCTTCTGAAACCCAGTTATTAATTCTCTCCATGTCCCATTCTCCTCTCTCATTAACCAGCACTAACAATCACATTCAAATCCCCTTCCGTCAACTGAACATTGTTTTTTCCACTCAAGGATGGATTCACATCAAGCCATTTATCCTTCCAAAAATTTACCAACTGCCCATTATCAAGAGACCATGACACGTTATTTATTATTTGGGGCCATAGTTTGACTATCTTTTTCCAAATTTCAGAGTCAGCATCCAACATAATAATTTCATTTTTCAGATTAACCTTCCTTCCGTATCTTCCATATTTTTCACATTAACTCTTCTTGTTTTTAATATACTACTTCTGGTCTTAATTATAAAAGTTAGTTGACTAATTTGAGGACATTAAAGAAAGAAGTTAAGTTAGTTATTTGTAATAAACATGTGTTGTCTTTCTTAAAATATCCTTACTAATCAAGTGTATTGGTTAGAGTTACCATTGTTAAAAGGATTATCTTTAAAAAAAAATACACAAATATGAAAGACAAAGTGGATTGGGATTTTATATTTAGAACCAAAATAAAAGTCAAACAGGATCTTATATTAAGGACCTGAGTTAGTAATATTTATGTTCAGTATAAAATATCTTAATTTATTTTATTTTTTATATTTTATATTTTAAATTTTTTATATAACTATTCCTTTTATTTTGATGAGGTGGAATGTAATTTATTACGGCGGCAAAAAAAATTCCGGCGGCTGATTTTGTAGTTTCTTTTCTATCTGGATGGGAATTGTTGGTGATAGATTGGAAGACTCGCCATTTCGCCGCTAAAATTCTCCCGGTAGTCCAGTAAGCGCTCTTTAGATATCAAACTCAATTTTATTCCATCGTAGTTGTTGTAGACGAAACCCTGATCACTATAAAAACTCAACTGGGGATCTGCTTACGATCGTTCTTCCACTTTACTTCTGGTCTTGGTTTTCTGTAGCGTCGATTGCGACCGAGATCGCTGCCATTGTAGAAGACTAGAAGAGACTGACTAAAATTCCGGAAATCCACATGTCGCGTGAGAGACTCAAAAGAGGCGCGCTTCCTCCGGCCCAAGAGGTACGATCCATGAATGTGTAATTCCTTAGTAGCTTGCTTTTTCTCAGGAAATTATGGGTTCCCCATTTCGCGTGGGAAATTAATGAGAAGTGGCTGTACATTTTAAAGAATTTAAGCTGTTTTCAGATTCAGCTCACTGGAAACTACTTATCAGGAAACTAACTCCTCAAGTATAATGTTCTAGATAATGGTCTTATGTGGATTATCTGATTATAGGCCTTATTATGCTTCATATTTGACAAGGATATTCTTGAACTGTTCTTCATGGTCGTCTCCTGTTTGTAATTTCTTTGACGTTGATCCACCATATATGCAATGCTTACGTTAGTTTTTATTCAATATATGAAGGTTGAGTCTATCTAGTCATTATACGATTATCTTAAGCAAATGTTGTGTGATTGCCACGGTCGAGGAGCTTTCCTGTTTCTCATATGTTGGGTATATGATTATCTTTATAGAGCGTAGGAGATTGTGGAGCTTTTCTGTTTCTCATATGTTGGGTATATGATTATCTTTATAGAGCGTAGGAGATTGTGAAGGTCATTTATTTCTGAGATCTTGCATTTTTAACATCTTTTAATTTCAAATTTTCTGAGTTGCACATAGTATGAGTTGCTGCTTTCTCTCATAATTATTTGACATTCCTTCAAATGTTTTCGTTTTAAAATAAGTATGAATTCTGGTTCTTATTATTATCATGTGGCAAAATGCAGAATATTGATAAGTTGCAGAAAGTTGTAAATGAGGGAAATTATTATGGAGCTCAACAAATGTACAAGTCTGTCAGTGTCAGGTTGAAGCAGCTTCTCTATGATACTTTTCATTTAAATTGTGTACTTTATTTTTATAGAAACGTGCACATCCCATCTCATGTAACCTATTGATAATTTGGTCAGCAATTGGAATTAGATTTTCAATGATAAGTTGATCTGTTGTAGTTATTTTCTCTTAATCTGAAGGGGTTGCTTGTTCATGAAATGAATTCATCTTTTAATTTATAAAATAAACTCATTCTCATCAAAAAGGGGGCACTAACGAACCATTCCTACTTCACTGCAGGTATGTATCTGCTCAGAGATATTCTGAAGCACTAGATCTCCTACAATCAGGAGCATGCATTCAATTGGCACATGGACAGGTTGCACAATTCTAATTTCAATATTTTTCTGCCCAAGCTTTTATCATGTAATGATGGAAAATGATTATTTGCATGTAATACATTTCTTCCAAATCAAAATATTATTAACAATTTTCAGTTAGTTAAACAAAATTTCCCCCATTTATTAACAATGGAAAATGATGCAGAGACATGTTCAGAAATTGGGGGAAGGCAAAATATTTATCCTCACATATACACATCTTTGAATTGTAACAACTTTTATGGATTCTGCTAGATATGGTCGTTAAACTAATGTGGAGCCTTAGCTTAACAACTTAAGCTTATGAGTTGTTATGATCAAGACTTGAGAGTTCTATCCTTACTCCTCTCCATTTATTCAGTTGAAATTAATTTGCAATACATATGTCAATTGTCAAGCTTAAAGTTTTTTTTTTTTTTTTAAATAATGAAAAGGGACACTAGAAATATTGGTAAAGCCAATCTTAGACATCTTTTCTGGTTTAAAAAAAAAAAAAAATTCTTAGACATCCTTGAACGCTAACTATTGTCTTGCTCCTCCTCCTCCTCCTTATTTTTGTGCGTATGTGTGGGTTGTCACTTGCCTACACAATTTAAGCATACTAACACTGAACGGAATGCAAACCAAATTGATTTTATGTGCTGTAATTTACTTTGTATTTGCATATTTTGCTGAATCTATTATCTTTTATGTAGAGTTGCATGTTTGGCTTTCTCTTCAATCATAATTGAACTCCACTATGATCTTGATCAAGCTTTATATGCCTTCAGGGATTGCTTTTAGACATTTTGAAGTTTTATGGTTGGCTTCTACTATCCATTTTTACACATTGCATTGGCACATCTGAGACAACTGCAAGTATGAGATGACAGATGTTGCGATTTGAAATTAATCTGATTTGATATAATTAAATCTAAGTTTTAATATCTCTAGTAATGAAATTAACATTTAATCAGCATTGATTTTGGCAAGAACATTTATGTAGAAACTCAGTTTCCGTTCTTCTTCAGGTCACCTGTGGGGCTGAGCTTGCTTTATTATTTGTAGAGACACTCGTGAAAGCAAAAGTTCCTTATGATAATGAAACTCTTGGTGAGTCCTTTTACCATCTTTTAAAGTTTTATTGATTATTGATGCCACTGGTTTATTTCTTGTCTCTGTCTGTGATGCAATATAATTTTGATGGAAAATTTGGGATGTGGGGTCTTTGTTGCATGATTTTGTAAATGTTTTTTTCCCCCTTAACTTCTCATCTTGCTTCTAACCTTGATCTTTACAAACTAAAATATCTGGCAGAACGCCTTGAGAAGATCTACAAAGCTTTTCCTCGGGTTCCACTTCCACAAAACTTGAGAGTTGATGATGACATGCAACAGATTTCTGAAGCCCTTGGAGCTGCAAAAACACGTGTGGAGGGCTGCTCCTCATTCTTAAAAGCTGCTATCAGGTGGCACCATTTATGGCTAATAAGATTTTTGTAATTAAATTCTGCAGTTATTAAGCCTCCTAAAAGTTGTTTTTTTCCCCTTTGTGCCGATGATTTTGTCTATAGAATTTCTCATAGTTATAAGATATCCTATAATCAGTTTTGAAGAAACGGTGTGATGGGTTATTTATCTTACTGATCTACAAATCAACCAGAAGCAGTGAGAACACACATGTATATATACCAGGAGCCGAATCAGAAAAGGATTTATGATTCCTTGTTGTTTTTGAAAAATGAGCCAATCACAAATGAATCTTGTTAAAATGAACCTGTACTTGAAGCAACATTTTCCATTATATGGATTGCTTGACTTTACCCAATATCAGATGAACTGCACTGCAATTCTCATTTAAATGTAAATGTCATTTTGAACTACTATTTTATTGATTTCTTGATTTGAACCTATAGTAATGCGGTTAAAACTATCGTGTTCAGATGGTCCGCAGAGTTTGGAGCAAATAATTATGGATCTCCAGAATTGCACATTATGCTAGCTGAATACATTTATTATGAATCACCTGAGGTGGTATGTATCAAAATTACTTAAAGTACATGTTTGTTCTTTGTTGCTGCTTCTTTTGGATTTATACTGTATATACTACAGTATTTCTAAGATGACTTTGAAATGTGGCACCTATATCATAAAGCAAACAAGGATGTCATATTTAGCAAATTAAAAATCAGAACATATACAGAGTAAGTTAGAACGGAACAGGCCTGATATGTGAATGTATATATTTCTTATTTTGATGCTCTTTTAATATCAATGAAACCAATAAGTTTGATTGGGTACTTTTGTCGGTTGACATTGACATGTCATGCTCTAATGCATAGCAAAAGACTTCATGATTTGTGATATTTGATTCTTGCATCACAAGTTTATCAGCCATCAGAAACACTAACAAAGTCAAGAAGGAAGGAAAGGCCAGAGAATGCTTATTCACAGTTTTAGAAGTTCCTTTTGATTAAATGGAGGAGGAGAATTTTGGAAATTCGTTTGCACTAATTTTCATTTATGGACTGAAATATTTTGGAAGTAAGGGGTATGAAAACTTTCTCATAAAGACAAACCTTCTCTTTGAATTCTTTTCTGAACTGGTGAGGATTCGTCAACTTCATTGAATTTCTGCCTGAATATACTGATAAATGGATTTTCCCCCCTTTCTAGCTCTTCCCATTACTGCACACACTTTGTTTTTTTTTTTTTTGGTTTTTTTTGGGGGGGGGGTGGGAGAGGCAAACAATACAAGATGAAGTGAAAACAGGAAAAAATGCAGAGTGAAAAAGGAAGCATCTGAAAGAAGTCAAGATGGAGGAAGTTATGCCATTCAGTATGCTGCTTTGCTTATAAGAATCACATCTTCGGCAGAAATCAGTGAATTAACCTTGTCATGATCTTTTTAGGGCTTTTGCTTGATGTATTTTGAGTACTAGGATCAGCATGCCTGGGGGCAGCATCCTTGGTATGAGTGTGCCCACCAGATCCTTATTGAAATCAAACACCTCAGCTAGGGGTATGCCTTGTTTAATAACTATGCGTATGGCTGTTAGAAGTTTGATAGTTTGCTGTATCTAACTATGGAATTCTAGAATTGTTGTAAGCTGCTGTATTGAACTGCATACAATCTATGGTGGATAGTAGCTGACTAATTGCTGGAAAGGTCCTGTAGTCTCTACATGCATTGACTTTGTTTTTATTTACATTAATACGCAGATTTGGAAAGGTTATGTTTTGCATTTTAAGAAGCTTCACTTAACCCTAAAAGTAATATGACCTTTTTCCCTGGTCCATTAACACAGTATACTTCTGACATGCAGGATATGGCTAGAGTAACGAACCATTTCGTGAGAGGAAATAATCCAAAGAAATTTGCTTCCATTCTTGTTGATTTTATGGGCAAGGTCAGCCTCATCACATTTTCCATTTTTTCTTTGTTTCTCTGTTCTCATACCTTGTTCTCCGGTTCAAATTTACCAAATTCACGTACGGTGTGCTGAAGAATTCTTCCCTTGTTTTTCCCCCCATTTTTACTAAAATTCGGTTGGGACGTTCAATGATGATCTAGTTATATTGTTGAGATATTGTGCTATATCATTGGCTCCCAGAACTGATTTCGAAAAGCGTAATTGAGGATTTCTTTGTCATTTTGTCCTTGTTTTGAGGAGGTTCAACTGATATGCCTCTTACTTCTTGTAGCGTTATCCAGGTGAAGATGACTTGGCCATCGCTAGGGCAGTTTTAAGGTAAAAGCAATTATCATCCTGATGCTCGCTTTGAAAGATGATAGACACCTTCTGCTACTGTAATTGAAATTGAGCATAGAACAACTAGGAAATTTGATTAGCATCAATGTTGGGTGATAGTCCTTCATCCAAGAGCAAGGAGCTATAACAGAAGGGTCATAAAACCACAAAACAACGCAGAAAATGCAGAGATGAGGAATAAAGGGGAATGCTCGCACTTGAGGGGTCTGCTCACCGACAGAATCCTTTACCTGAATCTTTACACCTCCCTCCACGCCAGCAGCCTCAAAATAACTTTCTTAATGCCTCATACTAATCCTGTAGCTTGCCATACATCAGCACTGGTAGCAAAGTTAGTTATCACCTTGAATTTCCCGTTCTACCCTCCTTCCCCACCCTTCTCTGCTTTTTCTAGAATGCACTTTCAACCTTTTAGTTGGGCCGTATCCTTCAGGTCCAGCCTCCCTCTTATCCTTCTCTCTTATCTTATAACGTTGACAACTATATATTTTAGTAGTATTATGTTGTGACCCTGCTAAGGATTGGGTTGTTGACAGAGCACGATGGCGTCGTGTGATTCATGTAGCCGACCCCACCTAGTGGGATAAGGCTTGTTGTTTGTTTGTTTGTTATGTTGTGACCCTGCTGCAATAACTCACTAAATCAGAAACAAACCAGCAGAATGAAAAGTGACAGCAATAAATGAGGAAAAGTCCTGAGGCTTTGATATTAATGTTCAAGAACTGAATCAAAGATACATTGGGCTTCAATGATTCAAGCCAAAGCCCTATTTCCCTCTAAACCAAAATAAACACAGCAGCAACTACTCAACAAAAGATTACACAGAGACACAAGGAACAAAGCTAGCACTTCCCCATGGCATTCAAGGGGCCAGGTCTCTCCCTCCCCAACACTCTCTTCAAATTAAGTCCTGAAAACATTACAATTTCATTACAAAGTCTCCCAAAAGTAGTCCTACACCCCCTACAATGTTTCAGACTCAAAAGAGTACTAGCCAGCTGCCAATTAGAGTTGCTCCTCGTTTCTTGAAGCTCTAGGATAATTGCTTTGACCAGCAGATTTATCTTCTTCTACCCTTGGTTGCTTAGTTTCCTCCCATATGTCTTCCTAATGCCAGCGGTTATATCATATTAGCTGCAGCAAACTCATCAAAATGTTTGACTATATTAATCCTAAAGGATTTAATCTGTTCTTGTCTGTTGCATAACAAAGGTAGATTATTCTTGGGATTTTTATTTTTTATAATGCCTGATTACAGTTCTGGCTACACATTTAACTGTTGAGCTATTTATATGATTCCTTGTCTTTACTTGAAGTCTTGTGATCCAAGTCATCATAAACGACAGACATGAAAATATTCCTCTAGTCCTATTTATAAGTCACTTCCAACATATTTCACACAGACCAAGAAAAACGTTAAACTTCATTAACTCATTTAAAATTCAACAACTTTCCAACTTTAGCCTTATTTAATAAACATTATACCTCATGTAAACAAATTCAATACAATAGTAAATGGAGGGTAAACTTGTACACCCATACAAAAAATTTCTCACAATGCTTTATAAATAGGACCAAAAAATATATTCTCTCTCTGTTGTATAAATAGGATCGGATGAATAATAATTTTTAATCAAAAAAGGGGTTTCTTTGTCTTTTGCACTATTAAGATTGAGGGCTCATTTGGGACTGCTGTGGACTTCTACTTATGTTTGAACTTCTTCCTTCATTTTTGACAAATAGATTTTCCTAAAGAGCATGGTGATAAGGAGGCAGTTTTTGTTGGGCAAAATTTTTTGATAAGCACTTTTATCAATATTGTTGGTTTTGGCAGATCTTTCAAAAGAATGCTTTGTACTATTAAATATTAAATTGTTAAAATGGACACTAATTTGACTTTTCAATTTATATTACTTGTATGGATAAATAATTTTAAATATTCACTATGGTTAATTTTAATTATATTTCTATTGTTTTGTTTGGTTAAAACATAGAAGATAAAATCACAATAGATGTATAAAATATATTAATATACATCAAAATAAGTATATGAAGGCAGCAGCCTTGGAAAATTACGAGACTTTTGGAAATTGGTAAACACTAACAAAATTAGAAATAATTACTCTTTTGTTTCTGGAGAAAAAAGCTGCTTAGTTTGGAAACTAACCAATGTCAAACAGACTGTAGCTCTCAAAATCAGAATTGCCAACTTATCTGACTGGAGATTTTGTGAAAGATTCGCTTGTTGCTTTCCTTGTTATCCCAAATACACTGCTACTACCCTAGAGTGAATGTTCTGGATAGCATTAGATGCACAGATCCTCTATTATGTTTATGTTGATGTACTTGTTAAAGTTTTGAATATTTTCGCCCTGCATATGCCACTCACTAGTTCCTTCCTGTACATGACAGCCGGGTTTTGGACTTAGGAGTTGCTTTCTTGCGTGACAGGTACTTATCTTCAGGCAATCTGAGAGATGCTAACATATTGATGGAAGAGATAAAGAATGAAGTTGCATCTAAAGAGATTAAATTTCCGCAGACAGATTTAATGCAGTTCGTCAACTTTCTATTGCAAACGTAAGCTGTCATGCTTCATAGATCAATCAAATTTGTATTCTTGACTTTACATCAATCATCAATGTGCACTGACTTTTGTAAAGTACCAAGAAATTCACAACACTTTTTCTAGTTATTGTTTTGGATGGGTTAGAATCATCGGTGTGCACTGACTTTTGTAAAGTACCAAGAAGCTTCACAAACGTTATGGTTTATTGGTTATGTTTATGGCTTCAGTATGAAGTTTCATTCATGGTGTCCTTTTAAGGGACTCTTGCTGTCTGATATGAGAAGGGGACTTGGCAGCTCTTAGCATTTTGAGCCTTTCAGCCTCACTTATTTTACTTGTTTCTTTCTAACACTTTGTAGGAGGATAACTAATTCCGACTTCTTGCAGGTTGGAGAGAGATGCATTGCCGCTTTTTAATATGTTGAGGGCAAATTATAAATCAAGTATTGACAGGGAACCTGCATTCAACGAGGTGAGCTCACCTATTAATCCTTGTGTCTGTGTGTTGACACTTTTATTGGTGGGCATGCCTGCATGCCTAATTTGTTCATGATTTTGGACCTCAATTATATGTGAGCTCTATTACGTGCTTATGCTTTAAGTCTCTGCATTAAAGAGAAACTCATCATCATTTGACTTGAAAAACTTTGATCCAGATGTTGGATGATATAGCAGAGAAGTTCTACGGAGTACAGCGGAGGAATCCTATGGGGATGTTCGGAGATATATTTAAGGTACACCATTTACACCTTTTATATTTATGCTAGCCACTTTGACATGGACATATAACAAACTATTGGATACCTAATTTAATTGATAATTGATAATTTTTTTAAAATTCATATCAACTAAAATTTTATTTTTCCCATCTATTTAGTCTTTAGTCAAGTAAACAAATTTTTAATTTAGTAGATTAATTCAACTAATTTGTAAATTAATTTATTGTTTAAGTCCTGACATGTGTATAAAAACTCGGTGTATGTTAATCTTCACTTCTTTTTTATGTGTTTTCAGATTTATGGTTCCTGTGAACGTTGTGGAAATGTTAAACAAATAACTTGAAACTACTTATTCATTAAATTTAAAAGGTTATTAGTAATTGACTTGTGAAATGCTTTTTGCTTCACAATGAAAGTTTCCTTGCAAAGCTATGGTTTGACAATTTTCGTTTTTTATTATTTCAATAAGCATGAAGTGAACACATTGTGTGCAAAATTAAATAGCTGAGTATAAATCAAACAATGTAATTTTGTGGGAAACAATTTGTAGCGCGAACAGTGATTTCAATTTCTTATTATGCAGTTGATGGGGGCTGATTGATGATATTCCTTATTGAGATACCGAACGAACTGCATCTCATATAGTGCAAATGGTAAACCTGTTCGACAATATAAAAGTTATGATGGGTCTGTAAGATTCATTTTTTCTGTTTAAGTAACGTAGGCAAATTTATCTACTCTTGAGGACCGTCTTTGTATAATCTCTTTAATTAGGTTTTACTTTGGTGAATTTGTCGTAAAGGTCGGCAGTTTTGCAGACTATTCAGCTGCTACAATATTTTTTCCTGCAAAAAGTCTGCGTTGGAGATTCATTGCATTTTGATTGGCCTCTATAATCTGGGCTTATTTGAGGTTGGAAATTAAGTACTAGTTCCCGTCCTTAGTATAAGAGTTAGATAACTAACCTAGGGATATTAAGGAAATTAGTTGAGTTAGTTATTTATCAGATTTTTCTAAACTATCTTCTTTAATTATATGTATTGGATGATTAGAATTATTCGTTGGTTGGGAATCTTTTGCATTCAATAGGAATATTTTGAAGAGAAAAAAAGGGAGACAAAGTGGATTGAGATCTTATATTTAAGATTAAATTTGATCTTCTAATTAGTTCTTATATTAAGGACTAGATGTAGTAACCTGCAACGACGATACTCTTTCCTTTGGTGTTTTATGCTTGCTTTGTTGCGTGGAATTTGATGCCTTATCGCCCCCGAATTTTTTAGTACCAAGGAAAAGATAGTGTCATTGCCTTGGCTTCCGAGTTTAATTCTCTAAACATGAAGATATTATGTGTTTGCAAATTTTGATCACTCAGCTGGAAAGGCCTCCGTGGCTTCTTCCAATTCCCTGTATTTCATGATCAATTTTTTTGACAACCCAAGCCGGGGAGAAATTTCATGTGAATGAAAAACTTTTTAGGCTCATCTCTAAGCTCAAATTATGTTCAAATTCTTATCCAACAAAGTGGCAGGAATAAAATTAGGTGTATGAAGGGAAGAATTAGGATGAAGCCAGTGAAAAGTTGGAAGAGACTGAGGAAACAAATCAGTGTTGCCATTCATTTTTACGTGTCAGGCCTTCTGCTTTACAGGTTATATTACAAATGAATTACACTGTTCAGGGCTTATGATATAAATTGTATATTTGATATTAATATTGATATTGATTATATATATTAAGGCTCGAGTTAGTGGTCATCCAACTTATGACCTCAGGTTCTAAAACAATTTGCTTCCCCAGAGTATTCTATGAATCAAGCTGGTTCTTCCAGTTTGTTAAAATTCGAATTTTGACAAATCTATTAGTGGAAGGACAATGCCGACCCAATAAAATAAATTTGCACGATCAAATGATCTTTGTTTCAGTTTTTAAAGGTGAGTGATGTTTTTAATTACAGTAATTATGGTGCCCCATGTTTGAAATAATCCATATAACTTGAATTTATGTGCCCAAAATTGTTGGTGCATGGATTGAGTATGGAGCGTTGACTCATCATAAATTAACCTTAAATTATACGTGTGATTACAATTTTCTCTCTTCTTTTTTTTTCTTCCGATTTTTATGAAGTTCACTTGATTGATATGAGTGTATTATTGGGTCTGCTCTCCTCCAAGCTAAATTGGCTAAAATAATATACACAATATCCAGAAACTGCATAATTCATGATAAATGTGCTTTTTTAATTTTAGCCCTTTTGCAATCCCCACTTTTTCTGTAATAAGAAAGTGCATTTGGAATCTTCACTTTGTCCCCCTTTATGTCACCAAAGTCTCGTTCATTTGATGTGATGTGACTATTAGTTATAAGAGCATCAAATACTGATGTGCTTTTTTGACGCTTCTCTCATAATTAAATTAAGTTCGTTGCCCTCAAAAAGTTCAACTTTTGTTTTTTCTTCCTTTAATATACTAATTGGTTGTTTTTGGAATTAATTTATATACATGAAAAATAAATAAAAAATTTTTAAAAATAATTTTGAAATAAAAAAGTAATTTATGTCTCTATTGATTGTGTATGAGTATGTACTTAAATGCTAACTATAGAACAAAAAAAATATGAAAAGCTATTTTTCCCCGACCAAATGATGTTTTAACGAATCTCAAGGGAGAATAGTTGGGAGTAGTTTTTAATCATTAAGTAAATTTAGTCTGTAACATAAAAATAAAAAAATTAGTCATAGATAATCATGCGATAATGTCAAAGAAAACTTCACCTCATATCATCATGATACTATTTTTCCCTCTAATATATCATAAATTAAAAGTTCTATTGATATAGGTTGGCATGTTTAACAAAAAATTCTTGAATTGATTTGCTATTTAGATATTTGAAGTGACACTTAGCTTAATCTATACATCAGTGTTTAATTTTATTGAGTTTTAATTTTTAAAAAAAAGCAAGGTAGGCATATTTATGGTAAAGAAAAGAAGGGGTTATATATGGTAAATAAACACTATTGTTAGATTCTTCATTATGATGTATAATTTGAGAGTTAGGACCCAGTAATCTGACACAAATCTTGAATTAACCTTATTTCTGTTAGGATTTAGAAGCAACCACAAACCCAGAATATTGGGCTTTCTGGCTTTGGCAAATTGATTCCATCTTTTTGAATCCCTTCAATCATTTTCCCTTCACTTGTTCTCTAAGAAAAGGGACCATCCCTTGTCGGTACAATCATTTCATAACTCGTGCTTCCAATCATAAATCTCTCTCTACCTCCCCCTGCATTTTTGCCCTGTTAAATTAAAATAGACTTACACAATAGATATAGTATTAACTTAGCCAAAACCTAGTATTTTTATTCTTATAGTTTTGCTTGGTCTCTGAATTTTAATTTGTTACAACTCATTTCTTATATTTTTAACTCGGTTTTGACTTAATTCCTGAACTTTGAGTCGATGCCACTCAATCTTAATAACTTAGCCATTTAAAAATATTAATCTCTATATTTTTAACAATAATATGTTTCATGAAATGGTTAAAATTACATATAAGAAATTCAGTTGCAGTGAGTAAAATTTAGGCAAACACTTTTAACCAAATCAAAACAGAGATTAAATTAGAGTGAGTTAAACTTTAAAGATTGAGTTATGAATTATTCAAAACTATAGGAACTAAAAGATATTTTTTTTCTCTTAAATTAGACATTGTTTTCTTGGATGTTTTACAATGGAAAATTTCAAGAAACAATGCATCAAATATCGTTTAGGCTCTAAGCTCTTATCCATGAAACTTTATTAGTTGGTTTAAAGTATTTACACCCATGTGATCAAAGTCGGCTCAACTTGAATTCATTGGAACCTAACATGAATTAATAGATCGAAGCCAATTATGGTCTATATAATAGAATTCAAATTAAACTCAGATGCACATGATTTTAACATGATAGCTTTTTTTGTTTTTTGGGAATTAGAGAAATAGATACTAACAGCATGAGGCTATAAGTGAAACCAAACCCACGGCCTTCTAATTACGGGAGAAGTTCCATGTTACTAGACTACAAGGTTAAGCAACATAATTAATTTTAAACAATAAGTTAGGATTTCTTTATTTGCAATGTTAAATTGCAATTTTTTTGGGCATTGTAAAGTAGATACACATAGTTGTTCCACCTAAATGAGGGCGGGAAGTGAATGATTAACCCAACCTTTTCTTGGTTGGTCTCACTACTTTTTCTTTAAATTTGTTTTATAATTAATAACTAATTAGGGTCACAATGACATTAGTTTAGATTCTGCCTTTTTGTTTTGTCCCACACTGATATATAAATAACATATATATATATATATATATATATATATATATATAAGGACTGAAGCAAAGATATTTTGATCTTATCATTTTATCATGCGGCCAGGGAGCAGGAGCGACAAGCAAGTCAGAACACTATTACATAAATAATGCATTATCTCCCTCAAAAATAAAATTAAAAAAATAAAGAAGAACAAGAAGAATCTAAATTTTGTCAAAAGTGGGGACACTTTGCTTTGTTGTTTTAATTTATTGTTTTAATTAGTTGCCGAATTTAATCCCACTTGAAACCTTTTCCTCTTATAAAGCTGTCATGTGTTTGCATTTCTGTCTCCGACATGCCCTTTCCATTAATTACCCTTAATTAACCTTCTTGCTTCAAACTATTGCATCAATAACAACCTTTTCTTTAATTTAATCATCCATTAAGGTGCGTACCATTCTCTTAGTTAAATCAAGAGATCGTTAACAATTGATAATCAACCGTACGTCATAAGCTTTTAAATTTATTCAGATATTTTCTCTCTCTCTATATATATATCTATCATATTTATTCATTTTCTATGAAATATATAATAAAATCGCCATATTCATAAATCTTGAAAAAATGTTGTTCTATCTTTGTTGATATATATATATATATATGTATATTGCAATCATCCTTATGCAGCAACCAAGAATATTATAAGAAAGCCGACAAAAGTAGTGATGATTAAAAGTGCAAAATTATGAGCACAACTACGTCCTTGTTTTTGACAAAAAAAAAAAAGCACATTAACTTCTAGACACTTCAACCACTATACACTCTCAAGTCTCAATCTAATTTATAAGGAAAAAATAAAAAGAGTCAAATCATCTTCGTCGAAATCAGGAAGAGGTAGATTCATTTCCCAGCCTTATATATGTGTGTGTATTTATAAGATATGTATACATATATTTATATATATATTATACACACAATTTGTCTCACTTTCTGGGGTTATCCAAACACACAATATAAATATACCAATAAGAACGTAATAATAGAGTACATATATGTTATATATATATTCCTCCCGTTTTTAATACATGATCTAATTATTGAGTTAGTTTTGGTCCTAAATATAAGAATCATTTCTTATATTTATTAATTTTTTCTAAATTATTCTTACGGATACTCTCTCAACCATAATTAAGTAGAAGAGGGAGAAGAGGTATTAAGAAAGATGATTATGGTGTTTTAGGAAAAACGTGTCATATTTTTTATAATTAACTATCTTACCTAACTTCCTTAATCTAATTAAATTAGTTAAATAGGTCTTATATTAAGGATCGGAGGAGTATATATATTATGAAAGCAAATGAGATAAAGGGCAGTTGGTGGTTTGAGTTGTATTGAACCATTTATTATATGACACATTGCACCGTCATCACTGCTTTGCATGATCACAAATCCTTCCTTTTTTTCTGGCAAACTCTTGATTTGAAGAATTTGGAAAGGACACTAGTAATAATTCATGTGTGCTTCGTCAATATATAGTATTATAATATCATGAGATTCTTTTTCGTTTTTTCAAAAAAGGAAAAAGGTCGATCGATG